AATGGAGTGAGTTCCACTTCCAAGGCAGAAGCTGTAGCCACTTCAGTCCTTACCCAGATGGCGGACCAGAGTACAGAGCCAGCACTGTCACAGATTGTAATGGCTCCTCCTTCTCAATCACAGCCCTCAGGAAGTTGATTAAAAATCTGGATTGCAACAGTTTTAGATATTAATGACTTTAAAGGGAAATCACGGAAAGACCAGTCTCCATTTAGGAGAAATCTGTAGTTGTAAAATTTATTAATTTTTTTAAAAATTGAAATTAAATTTGGCTCTAAAGGTTGAGATATGGGCAGATGAAGATAAGACTGAGCAAGTTTCTAGTCTCTGTGGAAAAGACTTTGTTTTTCTCTTTTATAAATATTGTTAGATTTAATAGTTCTTTTCTGTGCTCAGTGTGTAAAGCGTGTGTATAGTACAATGTGATTTATTTCACTTTTAATTTGGTGTTATTATTTTAACAAATATGGGGATATTACTGAATCTCCCTTCCCACTTTCCTATTCCTCCCTAGCTATCCTTTACCCCTCAGCTGTGATGGTAGTATTGTTATGTCATTTATACCAAAGTTCTGCATAGTCCCTACTGACTTTGTAATATTAACAAGGTCATAAAGCACTAGGCAAGAGAAAGATAGTAACGGTAAATTTGCTTTTAATCTTTTTGCCTTTTTTTATTTTGCACATTGTGAGAGGAAGAACCGTGGGAGAAAACATTTGCTTTATATCATATTGTGGGGCTTTATTTGGCTTTTAAGCTTTTCTTTAATGTTAGTATGGTATAAGACATACAATACCTTTTTATGCACATTCTTACTAGATCAGGGTCAGTAGTTAAAACAAAAAAAAGTGGGGTTTTTTTTTGTTTCTATTTTTTTTTTAAAGAAATTAAATTGATGTTAGTACGTCAAGCTTTTATCATTTCAAATCCAAATAAAAGTGTGCAGTTACCCTACTTTGTGAGGCTAAAAGACAGTAAACATGTAGTGTATAGTACAGGGTTATCAGATATCTAAAAATTTTCAAAATTAACTTGACTTTTTGTGAATTTCAAGTTGCAAACTGAGGAGTTGATGCATAATCAAGTATGGTATGATCACCAGAAAAACCTAAAGTGACTACACTAGACCACTCGAAAGTTTTTTTTGTCATAGTCTTGTACTTGCAAGCTAACTTGTACTTAATCTTGTGAAAGCACTGTCATCTTTTAGTAGCAAATTTTGATACCTTTCTCGTGGAAAAATCAGTATCTATCTTGAAAACAATGTAATTACAATGTGGAGTGTATGCGTGGGTGTGGGTGTGCGCGTGTGTGCGCTGGTATGGATGGTTCACTAGTTTATGCCGGCAGTCTTCGCTTGAGTGTTTAAAGATGCCTTCAATGTGATGCTGGCTAGTAGATGATTGCAGTTTAGAATGTTGTTTCCTGTGCGGACTTGGATAACTAACATTCCATGGTGTCGTCTGTTTCTGATGAGATGATTGGAGGGACACTTTTCTCATTATCCAATCATCTGCAGGATATTGAGTTTTCTAAATGTGCCATTATCTATTCTTATTCTGCACTTATGTTCAAAATACAGTACAATATTTTACAATAGACTAAAATTGTTAAAAAATAAAAACAAAAACAAAAATTAGTAGGTGTATGCTTTCAGGTAAGCAAACTTTGTAAAATAGCTATAAAGCATACCCAGTAGCAACTTCTGGCATTCAGGCAGGATTCCATTATGTAAATATAACATGGATATCTGTAATGCTTCTATAATAAGTTGTGTAGTTTGTTCTTCCTTCTACATGCTACACTGTCTGCTTGACTGACATTTTAAAAACCTGTATGGAATGTCCTTGATGATTCTAGGAAAAGAATATGCTTTATATAGTATCCAGTCTTTCTAAGGTCAAAACTACAAAGCATCCAAATTATCTGAATACCACTTTGGGACTTTTAAATGTAAAGATAATAGGAATTCTAAATATGTGGCCTATAAAAAATAATTTTAGTTGGCAATCCAGCATCTAAAATCTTTGGTTTTAGCTGATTTCATAGTTACAGTTTAGTCAGTGAAAGTAATTTCTCAATAATACTTCTGCCACAAATATGCAGAGAAGGAATTGATTTCAAAGGCACAAAATGTGAATTCTGCAAGAAAGTTATACAATTACTATTTTTTATCATATTTTTGGTGGGTTAGGTAAAGCCTCATTGGTTCACTCTCCTGAATGCTTCAAAGCATTTTTCTTTTTATTTATAAGTTTTTTGGTCATAGAACTCTCACAACTGTAAAATAAAATGACATAGATGTAAGGAGATATGTAAACAATTACTGTACTTTACTGAGGTTAGCAGAATTTTCATTATAAAGCAATCTGTATTCAGCAAAATGAAAACCATTATTAGTTGTACAAATTCCGTTTTGACTTTAAGTATGTCACACTACTTCTGTAATTAACATTTGGAGTCTTTACATTTGAAATGTTTCACAAACTGTACTGTTTTCTTTTACATGCAGTTTGCATGAGTAAATCATCAGAGAATAAAGTCTATCTTTAAATTACATTCATAAGTTGGTTGCTGTTCTCTCTTCTTACACAGGGACACCAGCAGTTAACCTTTTTTTTTTTAAGAGCATTTCTTATCATTGGAAACTCAAATATTGGTCTTTTTCTTTTAACTTTTCTTTTTTCTGCTTCTTTGCACTTAGTGCCTGGCATTCTAATAGCACTCTTATACTCATTGTTTTCAAAAACTACCCCAGGTCACTCTGATGCAGGCTCTGACAGCCATCAGGCACTTATTAACTCTCTTCTCTCTCTCTCCTCTCCTCCCCTCAACCCCCAATACTCACACATCTTTCATCTTTTCTCCTCCTTATCCACAGACACCCGGCTTTCTTGCCCTTGCGGGGGGCTGACATTCCACCCTCTCCTGCCCCTGTAACATGGAAAGGAAAAGATGATGGAAACTTGGCACAATATTTTTTAAAGGTTTATAGTCTTTAAAGGTTATTAGATGCATAAAAGGCTAAACTTAGTCTCTTAGTACAAATTTAGTCAGATGAGTCATTTCCTGACTACTGTCCCAATGTAATATCTCCTTTTCATCATGATACAGAAAGTGTTACCCTTTTTCCTTGAACGATGTTTTTGATGCCATATATTGAATTGATAAATGCTAGTCACTGACTATTCTAGAAGTAGAAGAGAAATGCATTTAAAATGTCATGAATCACCGTGAAGTGTGAATGAGGAGAACTTGTGAGGAATAGGCTTAGTGACCACTGATTCAAACGGAGGAAAGTGTCCATTGCTTGGGAATAAAACACCATACCTTACTAACGTTTATAAAGGCTAGCTTGGTGGCAGCTAGATGGCGCAGTGGATAGAGCACCGGCCCTGGAGTCAGGAGGACCTGAGTTCAAATCCTGCCTCAGACACATAACACTCACTAGCTGTGTGACCCTGGGCAGGTCACTTCACCCCATTGCCCCACCCCCCCCCCCAAAAAAAAGCTAACTTGAAGATTAAAATATTTCAGTCACTTCTTTATTTTAGTAGTAAGTACAGAGAAGCCCAACTTTAAATGTGGTACTTCCTCTAGGACCCTATCATGGCATCATCTCATAAGTTCAATTATGTTTGTAAAATGTGTTCAGTAATTCATACCCCTTTGAATTGAGTCTAACATGGACCCCCTTATATCAATTTCATCCATCTATGGAATAGGGATATTAAAATAAGACTCTGGTCTTCTTTGGGTGAAATTGTATCCATTCAGAGGTGAAATTTGACAGAGAAGTTCTCAGTGATTAGTTTAAATAGTAGAATTAATGTTTTAGGCTAGAATGGCAGGAAACAACATTTGATCACTCAGGTGAACCATCCTTGGCCTGCGGGTAGTATGGAGGGAGCTATCAAGAATCCATAGTTATCTCAAGGATATTGCACCATGACCAGGTAGTATTTATACCAGGAATACAGGGCTGGTTCAATACCAAAACTATCAGCATAAGTGACCATATCAACAACAAAACTAACAGATCATATGATTATCTCAGCAGATGCAGAAAAGGCATTTGACAAAATACAACACCCATTCCTATTAAAAACACTGGAGAGCATGGGAATAAATGGAGGCGTCTTCCTTAAAATGATAGCATCTATCAAAAACCATCAGCAAGCGTTATATGTGATGAGGATAAACTAGATGCATTTCCAGTAAGATCAGGGGTGAAGCAAGGATGTCCATTATCACCACTGTTATTCAATTTTGTGCTAGAAATGTTAGCTGTAGCAATCAGAGAAGAAAAAGAAATTGAAGGAATTAGAATAGGCAAAGAAGAAACAAAGCTATCACTCTTTGAAGGTGATATGATGGTATACTTAGAGAATCCTAGAGAGTCGAGTAAAAAATTACTTGAAATAATAAATAAATTTAGCAAAGTTGCAGGATATAAAATAAACCCACACAAATCATTGGCATTTCTGTATATTACTAACAAAGCCCAACAGCAAGAGATAAATTCCATTTAAAATTACTGTAGACATTATAAAATATTTGGGAGTCTACCTGCCAAAACAAAACCAGGAACTATATGAACACAATTACAAAACGCTTTTCACACAAATAAAGTCAGATCTAAATAATTGGAGAAGAATCCATAGTTAGTCTATTTTAATATACTTTTAAGTGAGATTAATTCTTTGAAATTATTTACTATTTATTTTTGTCATGGAGATAAAGGGAATTAATTCTTTAACAAATAAAGCCCAGTAATTAAATAAGTGATTTTAAAACGATAAAAATTCAGAAGTTACCCTATTTAGGGTTCAAAATGATTTTCTCACTTAAATGATGTTGAACTGCTTTTCAGTATTCCAACTTCAATAAGACTTGACAAAAAGTTGTTTTTAAAATGCTGAGAAACATTTCATAGGCTTTTTTTTTCCCTTAGTATATGTCCTAGGTATATGAAAAAATCTGAGGGAAACTGATCTGGCAGAATTTTACCGTCTGAAATATTTCCATAGATTATCATCTTGACCACACAATAATGATATTTGCGACTAGAAGCAAATGAAATTATCCCATTTTTTTTTTGTTTGTTTGTTTCCCAGAATCAGACGTATCAGACGTGGAAAGAATTTCAAAGGCTTTCTAATTCAGATATACAGTATACAAGACCAGTTATCAGTCAACTTTGCTTGAATTCTTTCAGAGAGGAGAATCCACTCCCTCCTGAGGTAGGCTATTCCGTGCCTTTGTCTCCTTACCTGAAGCCCCAATTTGACTTTTTGCAATTTCATCCCAGTATGGATTTTCTGAGGTGCGTGTGTAAATATTTGGTCATGCCTCATTGCTCGCTCTTACTGACTTTGCTTGAAAATGATAGGATTGTAGATTTAGATCTGGATGGGGCCCTAAGGTCATCTAGTCAAACCCCACCTCTTTTTATAGAAAAGTAAACGGACGTCAAAAGGGTCAAAGTGTTGTTTCCAAGGTCACAAAGGTAGCAGATTCTGGATTCTAATTCAGATCCTCTGACATCAAACCCAACAGTCTTTACAATCTCATTCTCTTAGCCCTGGAACATATTCTAAAAGATAGCTTTCTTGTGTCATTGCTGCCTTGCTTTTATTTATACCTCATTTGTAGTCACTTTGCAATTTTCATATTAATTACACCAGTTGATCACAAATAAGACAGGCAAGGTAGCATTGGCCCCATTTTTTTCATTCATTCATTCATTCATTCATTTATTCATTCAATATACATTAGACCTCCACTTCTTTGCACACAACTGTGTAAACTGTGGGAGAGATAAAAACTTAGATGAGCACATAGTGCCAGCCTTCATCAATCTTAGCAGTTTAGGAGTTGGATAAAACACCAAAATAGGTAAATAAAATATGCACCATTAAACAATAAATTCTCAAGTGCCATTGTTGCTTACACAATGCATTATATACTGAGGTAATAGAGACAATGTGGGGGTTCTACTCTCATTGCTAATTAAAACAGGACACTAAAAATGGAAAGATCTGGAAACATTTTAAAAGTCTGTTGTCCTAGTTCCATCGAGTAAAGCTCCCAGAATCATCTAGTTTAGCTAGATGTCAAGCCAAGGTCTCTACATTTTTTTTCAGCTGCTTTTTCTGTTATGTGAAGTGATACTGATGAATCAAGTTTCTCACCTCCTTAATGTTTTTCAAATTAACTAGCCCTATACAAACTAATTACTGACAAAATAACAGGATCATATATGTCAACCACAAGGCCATGCAATGAGTTGGTACTTTTAAATGTTTATTGAATTAAATTGACTTCATCAATGTATAGGTTTGTGTGTATTTTGCACATAAAAATCTAGAGACTCAGATTTTTTTACATTCACAATTAAATGTAAAAATAGTTTCCTTCTAACTTATCTACAGTAGGATTTCCCTATGCTCATTGTAGTACCTGATGCCAGACCCTCAGAATTTATGTACAAATGAGAGCTATAAACAACGTTCTGTACAGGAGAAACAACCTGGAGAGCCAGTAAATTGCCTACAGCCAATGCAAAAATCACACAAAATGTTAAAATAAAGTCTTTTTACGGAAGCATCACAGTAGTAAAGTGCATGAAACCCAGCAATAATCTTACCAAATATAGAATTGCTGAATCACAAACTAAATTCAGGAAATAAATTGAATTAAGAATGACTCCAATCTGTGAATTTTTCTCCCATTACATCAAAAATACAAAATTAGATCTCTTGTTCAGAACCACCTGAGGTCTGTGTGTAAATATTTGGTCATGCCTCGTTGAAAGACCCCATAACTAACCATTGGAATTAATTAAGCCAAAAAGTGTGTTTTGGTAAGCCAAACCTCTGATTTGAGAATTGATGGTAATAGGAATATTGGCAAATGTAAGCTTGGAAAAGACCCATTTTCTACTAATTGGATGCATCAATAATCTGATCAATAGACTTCAACCTTTCAACTCATTTTGAAATACCATGTCAATGGCTTTCTGACTAGGGAGAAAATACTCTATTTCTAGCATGTCCTTGAATTATCCCTGTTGTGCTGTTAACCATCTCTCTTCCCCAAAATTTCTCTTAGTTACATATATATCTTAATTTCATAATACTTTTTGATTTGGGGGTTCAGACTTTTTCTAAGTCAAAGACGTAATTTGCTCCACGTTATCTCATACATTCTAATAATTAGAAGACCTTTTTGATGCCTAGTTTTCTAATTTATTTTAATAATATTCTAATGGTGTCATAATTAAGTGGAGGTTGACATATTGAATCATTTTTTTGTATTAGGTTCCATTTCCTGTAAAGGTTATACAGAAGGAAGACTATCTTTTTAGCAGATTTCTTTTTAAATAAGCAATTTCAGCCTAAAGAAATAATTTAAGTAAATGAAGAAAAAGTTGTTTGTTACAGCCTGCTGAAGAAATCTGACAGATAAATTTTAACATGACCTTTGTCAATTGTATGGCTTTCTTTTTCCTATCAATGTAAAGCATCACTTTGTGTTTGTGGAAAAATAAGCAGGAATTTTAAGTTAATAAAAACTTTTCTAGAAGACAATACTGGGTAACTTTCTTATTTTTCATTTTCATTTATACCATGAAGAAATGTTAAAGTTTGGCCTCCCAAAAAAACCCCAACATTTCATTCAAATTTAGTTGTCACCACACTATACTTTGTGTTGCGCCTCTTTTTAAAACTGTACGAAAAAATCTAACCCTAAACCCACCCCACCTCCTAATACTCCTGTTTATTTTGGGGGCACCACCAATTTTCCCATCACCCCGATTCACCATCCAGAAGTCATCTTCTGTCTTTCATTTTTACTCAACCCCCATGCCTCATCGTTTGCCAAGTTTTACAGACTTGATGTCCTCAACATGCTCTATTCACACCATAGCTATACTAATTCAGGTGCTCCTCATCTCTTGACTACTGTTTTGTCATTTCAGTCACATCCGACTCTCCGTAACCCCATTTGGAGTTTTCTCAGCAGAGATACTAAAATGGTTTGCCATTTCCTTCTCCAGCTCGTTGTTTTTTTTTTTTGGTGAGGCAATCGGAGTTAAGTGACTTGCGCAGGGTCACACAGCTAGTAAGTGTCAAGTGTCTGAGGCCGGATTTGAACTCAGGTCCTCCTGACTCCAGGGCCAGTGCTGTATCCACTGCACCACCTAGCTGCCCTGCAGTTCATTTTACAGATGAGGAAACTGAAGGAAACAGGCTTAAGTGACTTACCCAGAGCCTGAGGTAAAATTTGAACACAGGTTTTCCTGGCTTCAGGCCTGGAGTTCTAGCCACTGCACCACCTGGCTGCCTAACCTACTGCAATAGCCCCATTGGTCTCAGTGCACTCAGACTCCTCCCCTCCCTAATCTACAGCTGATCAATTGTGTGCTCTTAAAGCCCAGGTCTGACCCTATCATGGCTGTCAAGAAACTTCAGTGGCTCAACTCAAGGTTCAGATACAGACATTTGTTTGGTATTTAAAGTCCTCTGCAGAGTTGCTCCAGCCTACCTTTCCAGGCCTCCTACAGATTGTTATCTTCTCCACATGCTATATGGTTCACCCCTGCTGGCCTACTTGTTCCTCACGCATCTAACTACATCTCCAGACTCCGTGCCTTTTGTACTGGCTTTATTCTATGGTATAAATGAAAATGAAAAATGAAATTTTACCTGGGACATTCTCCCTCCTCATCTCTTCTCCTTTAAAATCCCTACCTCCTTTCAGGATTCTGCTTAAGGGCCACCTTTTTCAAGAGGTCTTTCAATTCTCCTTAGTTGTTAGTACCCTATATCAAATCACATTACATCTATTTTGAGTATATCATCTATTTATCTGTAAGTATTCTGCCCCTCCCCCCACCCCCCAACAGCATGTAAGATCCTTGAGGCAAGGGTTAGCTTACTTTTATATTTGTATGCCTTGAACCTGGTATGTAGCATGTGCTAAATAAAATTTTATTGGTTAGTTGATGGGGGAGTGGGATGGGAGGGGCAGTAGTGAAGATTTTAAAATTAGTGAATAATCTTATTTATTACATGTCAGCCACTGTGCTAAGCACTGAACATAAAAAGAGAGTGAAAAATCGTCTTAAAGAACTTAAAGGCAGCTGGGTGGCTCAGTGCATAGAGAGCCAGGCCTGGAGTCAGGAAGACCCAAGTTCAAATCCAGCCTCAGGCATTTACTAGCTATATGACCCTGGTCAAGTCACTGTATGCCTTAATCCACGGGAGGAAAAAAATGGGAAACCACTCTAATATCTTTGCCAAGAAAACCTCCTTAGCTATGGTCCACGAGTTCCTGAATAGTTAGACAAAGTGGGACAACTGGACAGCAACAAAGGAGCTTACATTTTAAAGGGAAAGATGACATGTAAATAATAACAACACCTTGCATTTATATAGCACTTTGAGGTTTGGGCTTTACCCAATTTATCTCAATTTATCCTCATAACAATCCTGGGAGGTAGGTGCTAATATTATCCCCATTTTGCAGATGGGGGACTGAGGGAGACTAAGGTCATGACTCAACCAGGATCACACAGTTAGTGAGCATCTAGGGCTAAATTTGAACACAGGTCTTCCTGACTCCAGCCCAGCCACTGTGACACCTAACTGCTGTTTTAATTTCATAAAGATTAAAAGTACATACAAGATATTTACAGAATAGATGGTAAGTAATTTCACCTTCCATCTGCTTCTCTGCCTTGGTTTCCATGAAACAAAATTCCCCTCCCAGGTTAAGTTCATCACCTCTCATCTTATCACCATGGGGCTAACTCAGGCCTGGAGTGGACCTCAGCCTCCTCTCCCCTCTGATTCTAAGAGTAGAGGGGGGAGTACCAAACTCTTCCTAATGCCTTCCTTTATTAGGGGGCAGAAACTGGACATTTGGACTCACTCCACTCTGCGTTTGCAATCCTGCCCGGTTTTTTCAATTCCACAGAACAATATGCCCAGGCACCTCTTTTGTCACCCCCCCATCCCACTTTCCTGCCTCCTTTTGTGTCCTCCCCCCATTAGATTGTAAGCTCCTTGAGGGCAGGAACTGTCTTTGTATTAATTGTATCCCTAGCATTTAGCACAATGCCTGGCACATAGTAGGGGATTAATAAATGTTTATTGAATTGTATTGGAGATGGAAGACACCAGCCACTGGGGGAACTCTTGAAAAAGGTGGATTTTAAGCTGAGCCTTGAAGGAAG